ATTTTCATATTTTAAGTGTTTAAGTCCCTAGACAATCTTCTGAACGAATAAATATTTACGCTTATAAAACGAAATAATATATCATTTCTCAGTTAACGTATAGACAAATAGCTAAAAGGTACAATAAATCAATAAAATGAAATAATTATATGCCAATTTTATTATCTATTAATTATTTATTTTTTAGATTTAAATGACTATATAAAAGATTAATACTTGCTTTTTCCATATTCTAATGACAATCACATGATCATAACAAACATTTGTGATTATCATTATAATCTAAAATTAAATAACGGTTAATAATATAAGATGTATAACTTTTGTTTAATTAGTTCATTGTACTTTACTACTGATTTGCTGATACATTGAAGAATAATTTGTATATTTATTCGTTAAGAAAAATGTGTTAAGGACGTAATCTTTCATATTTTGATTGGATTTCTTCGTTTTTGGTGGGTTTAAAGATTTACTTGTTCAATTTCAATAAGTACGAAATTATATTTGATTAAAAAAATAATAATAATTAGTCAAATTTACGTGACGTTAATTTGTTTTAAAACCATAAATTATATATGGGTTTTGTGAAGAAATTGAAATGGTGTGGTTTTGTGTAAAGAATAATTTGTTAGATATAGGAGCAATAGCAAATTAAGTGGGGCGCATGTAAAGATGTGGGTATCACCACCTTTCAGTTTGAAGGTGGACGGTGGTTGACCTTGCCGCCGGCAGCCGTCAGTGAAGGAGTTAGTGGTGGCGGCATCTTTGATATGGTTTACGTCATTCATTAGAGTGAAAAACCTTCAATTTACAAATAAAAAGATATAATTAATTAATTGGTAACTCGTATTTATGAATGTTTTAAGTTTGGTCCTTTTATATATTTTTTTGTATAGATATAGTTCTTAAATTCTCAAATTTATTTTAGATGTTATGATTGGTTAATGAATTTAGTAGTTGTTTGTTTACCTCTTAATAGTTTCATTAAAAGACAGTCTTTGAATCGTTAAGAGGTGCATCTTGTTTAGCAAAAAAAAAAATTTGTTTCCTAATGGTTATAAAACTCTCTGAATGATTTTGTATCACGGGTCTTCCTTAACCATTCAACGCCTTAATTTCATTGTAAACAATTATATTTCATTTTGGACAATATCATAAGAGCTTCTTAATCATTTTGCATTAAACTATTCAGCAACCGCCAAACATCCCCTAAGGGGGTGTTTGTTTCTATTTTAAGAGTGCTATAAGAGGCAATTTATGAATCATGCAGAGGTAAATCGTGTTTAGCAAAAAAAAAAAAATTAAGCCTCTTTAATGGTCCCAAGACCCTCTGAACCATTTTGTATCTTGGGCAAAGCAAAATTATTCTAAACCTCATTTCTTGCACATCTGCCTTTTCATGTTTTCTTCCTCCCACACTTCGGTTTCCTCCTCCATGCTCTCTTCTCCTACATTTTTTCCTCCAAGGCAGGCGATTCCTTCCTACGCCAATCGCTCTCCGACGAGGTCCTCCTGTCGATCCTTGCTCTCTCACAGTATGTGTCTCCACTCTTCCGTCGATCTCTGCTACTTCTCCACCACCTCCAGAAAATTGTGAAATTTAAAACACCCAAATCAGTTTTTGTTGATATACATGGTGAGAACCAACGAGTTTCAGGAATCAGTTTTGTGGGTATTCATTGGAAATCTGAAACGTAATGAGGTTATGGGTCTGCAGGAAGGAATGACGAAATTAGGTTTTGCCTCGAGAAAACGGAGTTGTGGAATGTGATTCAATTTTTGGTGAAGAGAGGGAACAATATGGAAGCTTTTGGAAGCCTTGAGCAAGATGAAATGTATTGGATGCAATATGGTTTTAAACCTGATGTTATTTATTATGCCGTGGTTTTGGATGGGGTGATTTCTAGAGGGGACTATGAAACTGCAGAACAACTATTTGATGAAATGCTTGTATCGAGTTTGGTTACTGATATCAAACAACTATATTTTAGTTGGAACTAAATTGTAAGATTAAAATGGTTGTTGTTATTCAGACTGTTCATTCTATACAGTTACCAAACAACCATATTTAATTTTACACTATATCATACAAAGTCTCTCAAACATTCTGATCACTTAATCATTTTGTATGGAACCATTCAATAACTGTCAAACAACAATAACCATGATAAATTCCTTTTAAAAAATTGTGTCTGATATATATTACCTTTTTTAAAACTTCAAATTTTAAATAAATTTTAATTAGTTATCAAAAAACTTCACACCGTTCACACAAACCTACATCTATGATGATGTTAACTCTCTGTGTTGTAAAATCCATCGACCCCAATGACTATGACTTATGAGTATGCCATAGCTTTCCATGAACATATCAGAAATATCTCAGATTTTAAGACGATTTTACACAAAAAAAATTACGAGTTTTCACAAAGATTTACGTATTTGTTTTACAGGATTTTCAAATAAATATTGATTAAAATAAACTCTCACAAAAAGCTGAAAAACTAACTGAAAATTGGAATATTGGTGATCATGAAGAATGTGAAGCTGCTTCTATGGTTTATTATGATTTGTATGGTATATAAGTTGTACATTTGAAGTGCTGTTTTTTAATTCAAATTTAAAATTATAACATAATCAAATTTTTATTATTTAATAAAAAATATTTGAATTCTTTTAGTTAACTAATTAGATCGAATATTAAAAGATTACTGAAATTAATTATAATATAACCATAATTATTGAAACAATTATATTGTAGCTCACATGATGATAATGTTATATTCTTTATATTTTTAATAAAAAAAAATTAATGTAAAATTTAATTAAACACCATTTTATTTCATGTAAAGATTAAAATATTATATCATTTTGAAGTTTGTAAAAAATTAGTATTTTTTAAAAACAAAAAGTAAATTTATTTGGGTTCGTGGGTGTGATGACAGATGACCCGTGAGAAAGGGCACCAGCTATTTGATAGTTCTTATGTTTGTCTTTAACAATTCAATTTTGTAGGCCCTGAAGTTTCGACATTTCTTAAATAACACCTTATACTTTTTCCTATTTCACTAAATGCCCCCTCCATTTCAACTGGAATAAATTTTATACAGCAATTGCTGATATTTAATAAAGGAAATTACATTGTTTTAAATAAAATATAAATCACGTATACATTTTGCTTTTTTTTATAGAATATATTTTATATTTATCAAAAGAGAAATTCTAATATTTATTTTTTAAGGATATTAATATGTGTATATCTTATGTGGTCAATTAAAGCAAAACCAACCTCTCCCATAAATTATTTATGACAACCGCATATCTTAAACAGTAATAAATACGGAATGTTACATTTCAGATTTGTTGGCATTAACATCTTTTGTCATATAAATGGGGTCTTATATATAAAAATATGCTCCAATATTTAGTTGTTGAAAAAGAATATGTGGTGTTAATTTTAATTGGTGTATTCTCGAATAAAGTTTGAACGAATAATATGTAATTTAATAGTAGTTAAATGAAAACAACGCAAGTTAAAGTGACGTGCATATAGTACCAGGAGCCGACGTTATGAAAAACGTTGAAGATAGATAAAAGTCACGGAATGGCGTCAATTGCCACCAATCTATTATAACAAAGTGACATCAAGTCAAGACGGCATTGTTGAAGTTGTTCTTCACAACAATAGCTGAGTAAATTTAATACAGAACACAATAAATGAAGGTAAATAACGTTAATGTCTCAATTCCAATGGACTTTTGAGTGATGTGGATGAGTTTGTTAAGCCTCATCTCTCTTTGTGGCTTAGTCCTTTTTATACCATTATCCCCCAAAGGGAGAATCCCTTGGAAAGCGTGATAGATTTTGAATGATTGTAATTTGTAATTGAATTGGTCGGTCTGTTTGTCTTGTACTTGTTCAACTGCTACATGCTGGATGTGGTAGTCGTCATGTACTGGTGTAGGTTTAGACAGCAAAATTCTTGTTGCGGAGTTCTACAAAACATTTATGTCTTGCTACAAGTCGTTAGTATAAACTACGGTAAGCAGTCACTTTGAGGTCACATTGAAATTGATCATTACACGAAATCTCATGAGGGTATTTGGTAGAAAATAACGAACCTTAGAAGATGGAACCTATTTTTCAATAGTTACATACAGAGGCATATTTTTGATATATGAGACCGACGTTGAGCATAGAAACTCAAAATATGATTGTTTTTTTCAATATGAACCCATTCGTCCGTTACCCTCTTCATCCTCATTCCTCCCTGTTGGTCTCTCTCTCTCTCTCTCTCTCTATCCATCCAAACAAATCTCTCTCCCAAAACCTCTCTCGCTACTTTTTCTAATTCAAGACCAAAATTAAAACTTAGTTGCAGGTATTTCACTTTCAATTTAACAACAATGCATGTTCTCTCTTTAAATTACTGTCTCTCCCCAGAAATCTAAGCAAACTTCATGTGGGTATGTTGATTCTTGTGTTTACGTCTCCAGTCTCTGTAATCAACTGTCTCATTTTTGATTATTTTCTCGTATTCTTTTGACATTTTTGTTGTGTTCTTCCGTAAAATGTTAGGAACTGTGTTGTGGGTTTGTGATCTATATGTCTCTTGTTTAATATGTTTGATTAATCTTATCAGGGTGAAGTATGTTTGGGTTTTTGCAATGTTCTTGCTTTAGTTCACTTATACACATGAAGTGATGTCATATGAATATGAATATGAATATGAGTATGCATTTTCATTTTGTTTATGTATATCCATGGCATTAGAACATATTCTGATTACAAATTTAAAGAATGAAATACTAATTGCTTCATAGATTGAGTGTGATTGTGTTTAAATCAAAAGGAAGTTTCAAATGCAGATCTGTTATAAGTTGTTTGAAGTTGTTTACTAGTAGGCATTAGGTTGGATTTTGAAATGGGTTTTTTCTATAATTGTATGATTCTGATTTTTAAGTTGGTGGGTATTGTTTTGAAGATGATTTGACTAGCAAATGGGGAAGAAGGGTGGTTGGTTTTCTGCAGTCAAGAAAGCTCTAAGTCCATCTGCTTCCAAGGAGAAGAAAGAAAAGGTTTGTGTTAATTTTGATTTCATCTTCTTCTTACTTTTCAAGTTTCTTTTTTTGCATCCAAATTGTTCGATGAAATGCTAATGTAAGTTTAATATGACAGAGATCCCATAAACATAGTTCCAAGAAATCTTGGTTAGGGAAGCAAAGGAGCTTTGATAAAGATTTCTCACAAACACCGAAACCTGATCCCCCTCCCCCTCGTTCTCCTCCCACAGAGGAGGCAAAACTCACTGCAGCCGAGAATGAACAGAGTAAACATGCTTATTCAGTCGCCTATGCCACCGCCGTGGCGGCAGAAGCAGCAGTGGCAGCGGCCCATGCTGCCGCTGAGATCGTCCGCCTGACTTCCACCACCCGTTTACCTGGTAAATCAATCGAAGAAATTGCTGCCATCAAGATTCAAACAGCTTATCGTGGACACTTGGTGATGATTCTTCTCTCAAAAACTTCTGACCTCCATTTTACTGAACTAAAATGTGTAAACAATCTTTCGGTTTCTGTGGTTTTATGGTTTTCAGGCAAGGAGAGCGTTGCGGGCTGTGAGAGGGCTCGGGAGATTGAAATCATTGATCGAAGGCCAATCGGTTAAACGCCAAGCAACCTCCACCTTGAAATGTATGCAAACATTGGCTCGAGTACAGTCTCAGGTCAGATCAAGGCGCATTCGTATGTCCGAGGAAAACCAAGCTCTCAAACGACAACTCCTTTTGAAACATGAGAAAGATCTCAACAACAATAAATCATCTGTAAATTTTCGAAACCTAATACATCAAACAACTTCATATGATTATGATACCAGAATCATGTTTTTCTTCATTTAATTCTCATCTTTTTCATGTTTGCCGATTGAAAATCTTGTGATTACAGTTCGAAAATACATGGGATGACAGTAGAAAATCGAAAGAAGAAACCGAAGCCAGTTTACAAAGCAAACAAGAGGCTGCTGTACGAAGAGAAAGAGCATTGGCTTATGCACATACTCAACAGGTACATTTCCCAAATTCTTAACCCCAAAAGATCAAAATGTGTGTTCTTTTTGTTCTGATAGATCATGTTTTGTTTTGTTATCAAACAGCAAATGTGGAAGAACTCTATAAAGTCTCCAAATCCGACATTTTTGGACCCGAATAATTCTCACTGGGGATGGAGTTGGCTAGAACGTTGGATGGCCGCCAGGCCCTGGGAAGCTCAAAGCATATCTGAGAAAGAACCATCGGTTGGAGACATGGGTAAGCGGGTTAGCCGCCTACCTAACTGCCAGTCGCCCTCCACGCCACCCACCAAAGCTCCATCATCTGGTGGGAGGTTCAGGGCCGAAAGCCAAAAAGGAAGCGTGGATGACGATTCCAAAAGCTTTTACAGCGTGCAGTCCGAGCGGAACAGACGGCACAGCATTGCTGGTTCATCGGTTCGTGATGACGAGAGTGTCGATTCATCTCCCGCCGTTCCTGGTTACATGGCTTCAACAAAGTCCACAAAAGCCAGGTCCCGAATGGCGAGTCCTAGCCACAGTCCAAGCCCATTAGGGTCGGGACGGAAAGGCTGCACCCCAGAAAAGGGTGGTTCTGGTGCAATAGGGTCAGCCAAGAAGCGGCTTTCGTTCTCGGGTTCACCAGCCCGGGGCACAAAGAGGTTCATCGAGCCTCAAATGATGGATTCAGTTACTACTTCATAAAAAGGATTTGTTTGAGGTGTTGTTCAATTTACTTCATTTTGAGGGGGGTTTGGAATTGTTTTTGTTTATGTACAAGTATTTAATGCATGTTGTTGTGTTTAATGTTGTATTGTACAAACTGGTGATGCATGAGAGACTTGTGTTGAAAGAAAAAATGATTGGGTGAGAAAAGAGTTGGCAGGCATTGAAAAGAACACCAAGTAGTACCTTGCTTTGTCGGGGGAACATAACAGAATAACGCCTCGTTCTTTTTTGTTTTATTATATATTTATAAAATGCAATTAAAATTAGATTCTATTTAATTTGGATTTATGATATATTTTTAGAAAAGACAAAAAAAAAATCAAATTACAATATTAGTGTTATTATAACGAAATTCTTATAGTTTTTAAAATAATAAAATAATAATAATAATAATAATAATAATAATAATAATAATAAACTAGAAAATAACTTTATTAAAAGTAATATGTAATAATGTGACATTGTTGGTAATTGGGAGTTGGGAGTGGTTTTACCAACCCCATTAAAAAAGGGTAAGGAATCATTAGGACGCATTAATCCACGTAACCAGATATTGTCACGTGATTCAGTCCCAAACTAAGTTGTTTTGCCAAAGATAATCTTAAAACCACACGGAGAGAGATAATCAAACTAAGGTGTCGTTTACCAAATGCTTATTTAGATAAAAGTTTATCAAGTCAATTTACTTTATCGGATAAATATGACAAAAACTAAGAATTTTACCCGGTAAGAGCGAAAGCAAGAATCTCGAGTCTTACCTGGTAAGTGAGTACAAATACTCTTACCATGCTTAATGCTTACCGAGATAAATTGTAGCATACAATGTGTTTTAGTAAATAAAATCTTGTCCGGTAAGTAAGTGATAATATTGAATTTTACCGATAAATACTTACCGGGTAAGTGTTTAGGTAAACGTCCCCTAAGAGTATATTACAAATTTGGTCCCTGTACTTTGTTAAGAATAATATTTTTTGTCCATACGGTTTTAAAATTACAAGATGTTATTATGGTTTACAAAAGTATTTAGATCTGGATCTGGCCCTTTTCTCTAACGACGTTATATTTCGTTGAATGAGGAGCATTTTCGTTCTTTTATCAATTATTTTTGTATTTGATCCAGTCAAAAACCATAAGGATTAGTCATTCATAAAATCGATTATGGGGCTGTTTACCAAATTTTCTATTAAGTCATGTATGGATAAATTTGCATGTCTGGATAAATTTGTCTGTATTGATAAATTTATGTTGATGTTTACTTTTCTATCTGAATCATCAGTCTGAATAACAGAAATGACCAATTTACCCCTGAGAATAAAACAGAATAAACAACTTTCATGGCTCGGCTAGAGTTTCTTTCTAGCAACAAAGACAAGCAAACAAAAATTGAACAAACATGAAATCGATAAAAAGCAGCTAGGGTAGCAACAAACACAAGCAAACAAAAATCGAACAAACATGAAATCGATATGGAACTTGAGAGCAATCGGCTGTCGATGAAGAAGAAGACAACGTAGACTGTCGATGGAGAAGAAGAGAGCAATCGGCCGATTAGGGTTCTTTGAAGGAGAAGAGGGCGTCGACTGTCAATGGAGAAAATCGAGTATATTCAGATAAAATCGAGCAGCAACGAGCAGCAAAATCGAGCATAATCTATAGATAAGGAGAAGAGTTACCTTTGGAGAAGAGAGCCTTGATTTGAGGAGAAACTATTTCAGCCGATTAGGGTTCTTGGAGGAGGAGATTGGAGGAGAAGATTGGATTAGAAGTAGCGACTATTGGAGGAGAAAAGAAAGGCGTGGGTTTTGTTGAAGGGTAGGCACGTCTTTTTCTTGGCTTAATGTGGACAAGTAATGGTTTCCTGCTGTGCGAATAAGCCCGAGTCTGGGCGAATAAGCCCGAAGTAAACAGCCTAAAATGGCTGTGCGAATAAGCCTATTTATCCGGTAAGCTCATTAAGCCACAAGTAAACAGGCCCTATGATTGATTAATGTACATAAAATCAATAAAAAAAAAATTAACGTCCATTAGAGGTAGGACCGAATCTGGACGGTTTTATAAATTACAATGACCATTTTATAATTTTAAAACTATAAGGACAAAATGTGTTATTTTTGACAAACGACAGGGACCAATATTGTAATTTACGATTTTACCATGATAAAAAAAATTGCGTCGACAGCAGGGTTCGAACCTGCGCGGGCGTAGCCCGATAGATTTCAAGTCTATCTCCTTAACCACTCGGACATATCGACTTCTATGTTTTCTTCTCTATTTTTTAGGTCATATCACTTTACATTAGGTTCTATTTGGTACTAAGTATATTTATTCTGTTTGAAATTGTCAAACCACTATCCATATAAGGAAATAACTTCAAAAAATAAATAACTAATCATTACCACATTTGAAATTCGTATGAATGCATTTCTGGGATGTTTGGGATTGCTTATAAAAACAATTTATTGACTTATTTTGGTGTGATACCGGTAATAAACACTTTTGAGTATTTGAATAAACAACTTATACCGGTGTCAAACCGGTAATAAGAAGTTTTTGAAGAAGTTAAACCATTATAACTTATAATAAGTTGATAAGTACTTTTATAGAAAAACATAAGTTTCAAATAAGCAATCCTAAACACCCCCTTTATTATGGGTTCGAAAATTACATCTTAAACTATTTTTTCTTTTGAAAAATTATGGGCTCGATAAATATGGCGATGCATTTGTCTATGCTTCTTGTCTTGGCTCGTTACTTAAACCATCAAAACTCGAATTTGATAGCAAGACGAGTCTACTCGACCTTGACTCGAGCCAAAACTTCCCAAGAATCGGTCAAAATTCAAACCCATGATTAGTTGGGCTCATTTTGTGTTGTTTTAGTTCGTTCATAAAATGGGTCTTTCCATGGCCCAATCAAGAATCGTAAGCCGATGCCTTTTTTTCCTCTTTGACGATTTTTTTCTGTTTAATTACCGGTATTGTCTGTTCGTAGAACCTTCAAGAAACCATCTTTGATGCAAATCTTGTCTTTCATCTTCGAATTGTTACTCTAATGGTGAGTTTTTTCCATCTCTCGACATTTATTTTTTGTTTTCCTTGTTGTAATTCTCAATTTTGGAGTTTAGCCTTGTTCATGCGATTTGGGAATTGCTTGATTTACCCTAAGAATTTTACTTCAATTACTAGAAAGACTTCGATCGTTCTAAGCGTTTGCTGATGAATCATGCTATAAGTCATTGAATCTTATCTGATTTCTGCGTAAATTTGTTTCGTATGTAAAATGGTGGTTTTGGGACACCATAAGCTGAGTTCTGCAACTTATTGAATCCTAGATAACACATGAAATGCTTAAGTTATTCTTTTAATTGTTTGTATGTAAGATTGATAGAGATTTCATTAAAGATTTAGTGGCTTGATTCGGCCTATGCCATTTCCTTCAATTTCTTGTTTCCATTTTGCAGGTCTCATGCTCTTTCTTGAATCTGTTTATGAATCTTGGTGTGTTTCTTTGCCTTTAATGTGTTTGATACTTGTTTTGTTATTAATTTCATCCAAACCTTACCACTTTCCACTTTAATTCTGGTTTTAGATGCTTGAATTTGTGTTTGGTTGGTACTTTTGTGTTTTTCTCTCTCTGTTTTATACATGAAATCCAATATATTTGATTTTTCAATTTATAAACCATTGTTTTATTCGAAACATCAGAATACAACAGCATCAACGATGTTCATATTCATGATAAATCTCTATGCATAATCTTGATCGACTCTAGGATGAATTGAAGACTGTTTTTAGAGACCCTTTTCGGAAAGGGACGTGAAATTGGGCCAAAAAGCTAACGAGCCTTAGATGTGTGTATCAGGCTACACCGTTTATAGCTGGGCTTGCAGTAGCGGCTGCAGCCATGGCTGGTAAATACGGAATTCAGGCCTGGCATTCTTTCAAAACAAGACCCCCGAGACCTAGATCACGCAGATTCTATGATGGTGGCTTCCAACAAACAATGACGAGAAGAGAAGCGGCTCTAATCCTTGGTGTTAGGTAACTTAAACTTATTATGAAGAAAATTTACGCACTGTTAAAGAATTCTTTACGTTCAAGCTATCATTTAATCTTGTAAGATTATGATGTGATCACTTAAACTGCTGATGGCGTCAAGTTCTACGGCAAAAGTGACCTTTAGAGAAGCAAATTTATCGTACTCAAAAGTCTAAAAAGCTTCTCTTTTTATTTTCGTCAAAGAGTTTTCCTGTATAACGGTAGCTAAAGGGTATTCTAGACTTTTCCATTGAAAATACCATCTAAAGGAAATCTACATGTTTGTAAAGATTCTTTATTGCATCCTTCATATATTGATTATAGATTAAGATAGGATGACTAAAATTATTGAAGAAGGAATGCATTACTCCAAGATGGGAAGTAATCACAACATAGATAATTGACAAAATGAGTCTCCATGCTATACATGATAACATGTCTAACACTTAATATCGAAAGGGTATTTTAGACATTTGTCATATGGGAAGTAATCACAACATAGATAATTGACAAAATGTGTCTCCATGGTATACATGATAACATATCCAACAGTTATTATCGAAAGGGTATTTTAGATATTTGTCATATTTTGACAGAGAAAGCGCGGCAGCAGACAAGGTGAGGGAAGCACATAGAAGGGTGATGGTTGCAAACCATCCAGATGCAGGAGGCAGCCATTACTTGGCTTCAAAAATCAATGAAGCCAAAGATGTGATGCTTGGAAAGACCAAGAACAGCGGATCCGCCTTCTGATCAGGTGGGACCCACCGAAGTGTTTCGGGCTATTTTGCAGCAAGATATGGTAATCTACAAAAACCTTGGTCAGTGTTGTTGATTACAGGAAAAAACTGTATCCATTGTTATTTCTTTGGATTGTGTTGTTTGAATGGTTAGGAAATGGACTAGGACAATGAGTATCTGTCATGGTCTAAAGAGTTGTTGACCATTTTGTCTGATATAATGATATAACAATTTGACTTTGACTTCTATGGTCAAACAAATTTCGGCTTTTTTTTTACATTTTTGTGACAACAAGTTTGTAATTACGTAAAACGTTGTAACATGAACGGAGACTATACAAATAGAAATGTAGAAGGAGGTGGTTTTTGGGCATTGTGATGGTTGAGAATGTACGCAAAACCGTTACACCTACAATAATTGTTGTTTAGACGTGGGCATAACGGTAATGCGACCAAGTTCTCACTATTAGATAACTAAATCAAATAAATATAGTATGTCTTACATCGAGATAGGGTCTGGGGGTATGATTTATGTAGACTTTGCTTCTATCTAAGAAGGTAAAAATGTTATTTTTGTAAAGAATTCCGACATCTGGCGTTTTGGTGTAATTGAACTTCAAAGAGAATCAAAGAGTTAAATAAAACTACAACACAAGTTAGGAGATGGATAGTGCACATTACTATAAGCTGCCATATGGCAGGGTCATAGGGGAGCAAGGTCAAGGAAATGTATGGGGTGCTGACACTTGGTGTTTGGTGAATTTCAATAGCTAATTTCGGTGTTTTAGTGACATTGATGCATGTGCAGTAAGTGGCAATAATGAGGGTCTTCAAGTGCAGGGATGGACTCAAAACGGTTTTTGTGATTGCACGTGTAATCTTTTCCTTTCTTTGTCGTAGTCTAAAAAATTATAAGGTCGTGAAAAGTGTCATTCTATTATTTTGTTGTATACAATAGTATATATTTTAGAACTACAATCAAGACACAAGTTTCGTTTGTAGAGTTGGTTTGTAAGACTTTTATTCCATTTTAGACTCGAGTTTGAATTATGTTAGTGTCATTTACTTAACTTTTAGCTTTTAATTTCAGTTTTATCATGTTTCTAGAAAAAAATTGCAATAAAAGACTTTGAACACATAACCTCACATATGAAAAACAATGAACTAACCAACACACCCATGATGATTTTGGAAAAATATCCTTATATTTGTTTTTTATAGCCAAACGGTATCATCACTTAAAGAAATTTATGGATCAGTCTCATTGATGTTAATCACTAATAAGTGAATTGTCCCATTGATGTTAATCACTAATAAGTGAATTCACCCATTGATGTTAATCACTAATAATTGCTATGGAACTGCTTATAACCTCTTTAAGTTCTTGATAACTGTAGATAACCATCTATCTTTAAAGGGTATTTCCATTCTCGTTTTTACATATATAAATTAATTACTTTCTTAATTTTTTTGCTCTCGATAAACGTGAATACAAATCTTATCGTTGAATACAATGTTGAGATATTATTTAAAGAAAATGATTTCCTTTTTCTACCATATCTAAATTCTTGATTCAAATCTCATCTTATTGATTTATCACTAGTTCTAATCTAAGGGGTTGTTTGTTTACTTCTTAATTGTTTTATTAACAGACAGCCTCTGAATCGTTGAGAGGTAAATCTTGTTCGGGAAAAAAATTGACTCTTAATGATTCTAAAACTTTTAAATGATTTTGTATCTTGTACCCCTTAACCATTCAACGTCCTAGTTTCATTCTGAACAATTAGCAAGCAATTATATTTCGTTTTTACATTATATCATAAGAGCTTCTTAATAATTCCGATCATTTAATCATTTTACACCAAATTATTAATTAACCGTTAAAAACCCCTAAAACATTAGAACTTAAAACAATATCGTTTTTGATTATCTTTTCCGAAGGTGGAAGCTGTAATATGAAACTACATGATTATAATGAATGTGCTTTATTAAAATTAGATGAAAGTAATAAAAAAAAAACGTGACCAATTGGTGAAAATACGTGGCGATTGGGAAGTAGGTGAAGCATGCCACAGTTTGCCATGTGGAAACGCATCTATAAACGTGTCCACATGCATTACTACACGTAGCACTCCATTCATTATTTTTTAATTATTCATGTCTGATCTGTCAAATCGTTTCTTTATTACATTTTTTTATCAAAAATATTTACATATTTAACTATTCATTAAACATTGTTATTTTTCACGAATCAGATCTTCAAAATACAGCATTTATCTTTACCATGATTTTTGGCTTTACCAATCTATAAAATGTCAGTTGCAATAAATTGGAATATATATTCGTTTTTAAATAATTATTTATAATAAAATAGACATATAATTATAAAAAAAAATATTTATTACATTTTCCAAGTTAATTAAATATCAGAAAAGTGATAAATGTCGTTTATCATGATTAAAGATAAATTAAAACATAATTAACTTATTTTTTAAAAGTATTATTATAAATATAAAAATAAGAAAGTGGATAATATTTTAAGACAAAAAAGTAAAGAGTAGTATAAATAAAATACCAAAAGAATTAAAAAGTAAAGTTCACTTATGGCCCTTGCGTTTGACATCTCATAACGATTTCCGTCCCTCCTATTAACAACCATTATCTTTTTCGGTTAAATCTAGTTTAATGATGGTATTTTAGTCATTTTACTCGTTTTATTAATTTTCTTATATTTACAAAAACTATCAAACTTTAGGGACTTGTTACATAATTATCTTTAACATATTAGATACACACACACATATATAGACAAGGACCAAATTGTCGGGACCTGTTGCTGGACTCCGTCACCGGAGGATCAAGATGGAGGCAACCACCGTCTCCTTCTCCACTCGTTTCTCCGCCATCATCATTCTATACCTAAAATATGAAAATCAAATATAAACCACAAACAGGTCCTGGTTTGAAACTTCATTTTGGTCTCATCATCCCTAAAATCTTAAAAAATCTAATCTAATGGTACAAGAATTAGACATAAATCTTAGGCTCAGAGGAGGAGAGTGAGCCATAACTCACTGTTATCACCATTTTTTTGCCACCAACGTTCCCCATTTTGGAACAACGATGAAATGGAGAATGAGTGGAGGATCTTCCTCTGGACAGGTGAAGAGGGTATATGCTGGGGAAAATAAGTCATAACAGTCTCTAAAGTTTGATACTTTTTGTAAAAACAAGAAAGTAAAAAAAAAGGTAAAATAACCAACTTACCCCTCATTTAATTGGACTTAACAGAAAAAATTAGTCGAAGTTAGGATGAGGGACGGAAACTTTTACAAGGCGTCAAACATGAGAAACAAATCTGCTAAAATAAAATAGAAGGACGAAAACCGTTGAAATTGATAAATATTAGGGACCAAAAGTGAAGTTTACTCGTAATTAAATTACATTATGAAATTAGACGAGGGGAGGGGTGTGTCCTTATCCGAGTAGGATACACGCCATCATTATCCACAGTCATCTCTTATCTCTTTATTTGTTTTTTTTAACTACAATAAAATTATATTTGAATATAAATTTTATTGATTGGGAAAAATACTCCATAAATAGTCGGAAAATTGGAAGCCTCTTCTTCTTCTTGGTTGTTCGCAGTCACCACCACCATATCCCGCTTTCTATATGCATACAAAGCCTACACCCATCCGATTATATATATGATCCAGATTTCTTCCAATCGTCTCTAATTTTTGCCAGGTAATCTTTTCTCATCGCCTAGGAGCCAACCTATGCAATCTCCATTGTAGATTTCTATCAAGAAATGATATGTATAGATACAGATTTCAATTTCACTGTACAGTACGCGTTTTATGATATTTTATGTGTATATATATAGATATACCATCTACATCGCGGATTCAGAGTGGGATTTTCAGTAGCTGCTCTCAATCTCATCGAATTGCTACGGACAAGCTCGATTTTCACTTTTGTTTTGTCCGTACCGTTTTCGGTTCCTAAGTATTTGGTATTTGACGAGGTGTTTGTTTTGATGGGTAAAATTAGGGTTTTTGGGCTATGAAGAGGTATTTTTTAGGTCGACTTTGTTGATCGTTATTCAAATTGGGATTTGGGTTTTCTGTGAGTGTGTTGAGATTCCAGATTTGGTAATTAAGTAGGGTTTGGAGATAGGTTTTTTTTTCAGTGATGGTGAATGTGAATGGGAATGACCCCTTGGAGTCTTTTCTTAATTCGATTGAACTTGTGAAGAATGCTCTTGGTCCTCTTGAATCCAGTTTTAGGAAAGCTGCAAGAGACTTTGAGCGTAGGTGGCCTGGTAGTAAGAATGAAACGAAAACAGGCGAAATTGCAATGAGAAACGAGGGTAAAGTTGAATTGTTTGGTGTGAAGAAAAAAAATGGTCAGGGAATGGTTGGTGATGAAAGAAAGAAGGGTTTGTCAAGTAAGGTCCCATTTAAGTCATTCTTGGGTATTTTCATTCAAAATGATGCCGGTAACAGTGACCGCAGGGTTGATATGTCCAAGAAAGAGTTAGATGTACAGGATTGCAATAAAGAGGATGGAACTTGCATTAATTGCATGCAATTTGCAGTGACCTGGTCTTTGCTGGTGAGTAGTTTTGTTCAGGCTGTTCCGGGCCCATTCAGGAATGGTAAAAAGAAGCTACAGAAAAAGACTAATGGAGATAAGCTTTGTAAACATATGCATGTGAGTGAGTACAAGTCAAAGATTTCTAGAGATAAAAATGACTTTATGGCTAAAGGGGCATTCCCAGAAGATATTCCTGGTGATACAAACCAGACAAAATTGAAAAGTGGGCTGATTTTGCTACCATGTGAAGAAACATTGGAAACTAAAGATGGAAATAATATGTCACTTGAGCACTTTATTGGGTTTGTCTTTGATCAGCTTGCTCTGAATCTACAGAAGTTTGAGTTGGGTGCCCAAGAAAGTGGAAGCGAGAAATGTGACTTCTCTAAGGTTCCTCCCCCTACAAACCAGGTTGATCATTTTAAGGCTGTTGGTAGTCTTTTGGAAGGTAAAAAAGCAGATTTCAGTGGATTTTTGGGAAATTTGAAGTTTGCAAGAGTTGGAGGCGTTCCATCAGGTATTGTCGACTTAACTTCTCCGGTTAAGGGCGAGAGTGATGATAATGTTAGCTCAAATGGTACAGAAGAGAATGTTAGCAGTTTCTCACAGAAGATGGCTAATGGGTTACTCAGTATTCCTTTATCAAATGTTGAGCGTCTGAGGTCCACATTGTCTACTGTTTCATTGACGGAACTAATTGAACTTGTACCCCAGTTAGGACGGTCGCCAAAAGACCATCCTGATAAGAAGAAACTTTTCTCGGTCCAGGATTTCTTCAGATACACAGAGGCAGAAGGTATGTCTCTTTAGCAGCTGAAAATTTTGACTTGGCTTATCAATTTGATGGCATCAGATTGTTATTACAATATTGAAACAACCAACATCCACATATCATGTATTCTTAAAATTTCCAACCATGTTTGCTCTACATATTAGTATGCCATCTAAGATCTGATTTGAGAGGTTTACTATTCTGTTCAACAACAATCTTCACTTTCAAATGATTGCTATTGTCCAACATTGGTATAATCCCTCCTTCCATCTCCTGAATCGTCTTTCGAGAGCCAAGTAAACTAGTTTTCAACATCAAAATCAGTAATAATCTGCTAAAATCTTTTTTTTCCAATATCCACATTAAATCATGTAAGAGGTACACATGACATATTTTTTATAAAAAGGATGTTAAACATGTTAAAGAATGAATGTTGAAACTTGAATTTGATCAAGTATACATATCAGGATTGGCATCCAAAAATGGTAAGTGGAAGTATATCATGTAACAGAGATTGCATTTTTGTTTGATATTCTAGAAACACTCGACATATCTTTCCATGATATTATGTGGAGATAAACAATCATGCTCCAAAAGATCCATTCTTGCACTCACTGGTTTTCGAGTTGATAATCATTGCTGCTTATCTTGAACGTAGCTAGTAGAAATAAGTAAATAAGATTCAACTCACTCTCTACGAATCCCACTGGTTGGAGGGCTAAGCTTTAGTCTAGACTCTAAGATCAGTTGGAGATTTATCATGATGTTAAATCTACTCACAAGGTCTTGTTTTTAAGTCTTTTTGCTTGCGTTTTGTTTTACCCTTTAAATCGTCAGTGAAACTTGCATCTACCTGTTTTTTGCACAATAGTGCTCCTTTACCAGTTTTTCGCTTTAAGCTTTTAGATGAGTTGATAACCTTTCTACAACTATGGTCAAGCCTAAAAACACTACCATGCAGAAGAATTGCGATGCCTCCCTGAAACACCTGCCATTCTCTCAAGCCATAAGCACCAAAGCACTCCAAAATGTGCAGTTACAACCATTTTGTCTCATTGTCATCCTAAGCCACAAATGGTGGTTCATAAGATGTCGGCAATCACTTTAAGGAGCTGAGCGTAATGTTAGGGAAAGAGCATAATGGTATTAAGAAGCTTGCCTAGATGCACACACCACTGCCGCAAATGGTTGATATTGAACCACATAAAATCAAAGAAGCGAAGGCAATTCTGAATATGTCATTATTGTTGCTATAGTTTTATTAGTAATTCACGCAGTTCTTGAAGAAACCAAGTACATTAGGTTAACATACAAATTCATAATTATTCTGGAGGTGGAGAAGAGCAACTTGCTCAAATAGCACAAGTAGAACTTCAAGGTCCATTGTTATTCGAAATATATATCTCATATATTCTGGTCTACTGCAAAAGGTTTGAGATTGCATATGTTTCTTTCCTAAAATGCTTAGCAAAATTTGAACTTTTCTATATGTACCTCCTGCTCGCATTTTTCTTATGTGTTTGAGGTTGTTACATCCATAGCACATCATCCTGTTGGATTCACGTATAGATAATAAAAAATACATTAAACATGTCACTGGATTCTTAATGGTTGATTGCACTAGTTATATTCATTCATTATATTTTTTGCCAATTGATCCCTTCATTTTGTGCCTTGGAAAAACCCCCCCATTCAAATGGGCAGGAAGGAGATTTTTTGAGGAGTTGGATAGAGATGGTGATGGGCAAGTCACTCTGGAAGATCTTGAGGTTGCTACTAGAAAGAGAAAGCTTCCTCGGAGATATGCTCATGAATTGATGCGCCGCACTAGAAGGCACTTGTTTTCAAAGTCATTTGGTTGGAAACAGTTTTTGTCCTTGATGGAACAGAAAGAACCAACAATCCTTCGAGCTTATACTAGTCTCTGTTTAAGCAAATCCGGGACGTTGCAGAAGAGTGAAATCTTAGCATCACTAAAAAACGCAGGACTTCCTGCAAATGAAGATAATGCTGTTGCCATGATGCGCTTTCTCAAGTCCGACACTGAAGAGTCTATTTCTTATGGGCATTTCAGAAACTTTATGCTTCTTCTCCCATCTGACCAGCTTAAAGAAGATCCCCGGTGAGATAGATGGTTCTTAACGCGATCTTTATTTCACAACTGAATATATGTTGTTACCCTTCTCTTATATATAGCCAAAATCCCGGAAAAGGAAAGCTACTTGATGATGTTCTTCTCTCCTCGTTTATATCCTTAAAGAATTAAATTTAGTAAGGCCAAAATATATATACAAGTATGCAGCATCAGGTAGAATCTAGAATTGAGGCATAGCTGCATGGTCAACCTCAACGTGAAAGTTTCTTGTTTTATTTACTCGTCCACAGAGGAACGATGCTGCTGAATGGCACTCATACACAATATTGTTTCATCTAACCCTTTTCTTACCCTTTGGTAAAACTAACAGGAACTTATGGTTTCAAGCTGCTACCGTTGTAGCTGTGGCACCTCCTGTGGAAGTGCATACCGGAAGTGTTCTAAAATCTGCATTGGCTGGAGGCCTTGCTTGTGCATTGTCCACGTCTGTAATGCATCCTATTGACACAATAAAGGTAAGTTGTTATGTTTCAAGAGTTATAGCTGATTCGTTTCACAGTAAGTTTCCTAATTTTGTTTGTGAGAATTAAAATGTACCATTTTCAGCTTAAAGCTTTGTAGGAATTAATTTAATTTTAGATATAGAAGTTAAGAACTGCATTAAACAACCCAACAAGCACTGGGGTTGGAAAAAAAACGTGAGGATCATATCGACTGTGAATATGGAAAACAGTAAATTTGACAGTTGGAGTCGAGCAGGACATCTAGTGGAGCAGAGGGAGTATCATGCAAAATTTATAATATACCGACAATTTGATCTCCTTAGAAAGAGCATTCTCAAGTTATCCTGACCCTGGTTTTCTCCAAAATATTGTGAGGTTATTGGATTGTTAAGTAATTATGCTAGTGATGCAACTACTAGACGGAAAAGAGTGTTTGTGGTTGGCTTTGACTCCAGCTATATATTACATTGTTGGCATTCTTCCGGCAGGATCTGACAGTAGCTCGTTGTATTGTCAGACTCGAGTACAAGCATCAACCCTTACTTTCCCAGAAATTCTTGCAAAACTTCCACAAGTTGGAGTTCGTGGAGTATACAGAGGCTCCGTTCCTGCCATTATAGGACAATTTTCAAGGTTCAGTTTCATTTCCCTTTTCGTCTTCTTTTTCTTTGTTTATCTTCTGACATACAAATAGTTTGGTTAACATATCGTTGCAGCCATGGATTACGAACTGGAATCTTTGAAGCAAGTAAGATTGTGTTGATAAATGTTGCTCCAACACTTCCAGACCTACAGGTAAATACTATATATATCATGAGATCATCTGAGAACTGAATCCGCAATTTCTTTTTTATTTCCAATTGCAACTTGTGCTCGCATTCTTCCGTTTCTTTTCTTGTATATTTGACCACTTTATTACATGAAAATTCAATATTGAATTATTGTTTTTGTGAATATGTTCCAGGTTCAGTCTATAGCATCATTCTGTAGCACTGTTCTGGGAACGGCAGTAAGAATACCGTGTGAAGTATTGAAGCAAAGGTTGCAGGCGGGCATATTTAACAACGTGGGCGAGGCAATCGTCTGCACATGGCAACAAGATGGTCTTAGAGGTTTCTTCCGTGGGACCGGTGCTACTCTTTGTCGTGAGGTTCCATTTTATGTCGCAGGCATGGGACTTTACGGAGAGTCCAAAAAGGTATCTTTGTTTTCCATATAAAAAGATACACACACACACACACACATATAGAGTCGGTTATACGAGAACAATAACTAAATAAGAAAACAGTCGAATCATGTGATTTTACACTAAAATCACGTGTAAAATCATATTTGATTCACGTCAGGCCACGGCCACGTCGCCCACACACCCTTGCATTTTCTGTTGGTGTAAAATCACTTGTGATTTTGCAGGCTGTTTTCGTATCCTCTTATTTTGTTGTCATTCTCGTTTGAACCTCCCTCTATACACACACATATATATAGAGAGAGAGGGGTTCAGGGAAAACCCCAAAAAACTGAGAAACTGGGGAACATCATGGTAACGTAGACGGTATGCACATGTGCATATAAGTAATTGAAGTTGTTTCTTGGTTTTTATGCGCGTGAGCATGTTATGCACATGTATATACCTATGCAAATGTACATATCTGACAAATTATTTGCATGCACATGTGTATACCGTCTAGATGAACATTTACCAGGTGTTCCTCAGTTTTTTTATGCAATATTTTTGTCATTGTTTATTACCATTTTTCTTGATCTTTTTGAGAATCAATAGACATCTTAGATTATATATCTATATGACTTGGAGTTTTTTTTCCTTCAGGTTGTTCAGCGAATATTGGGACGAGAACTGGAACCATGGGAAACGATTGCAGTTGGGGCTATATCTGGTGGTCTAGCTGCTGTCACTACGACACCTTTCGATGTGATGAAAACTAGAATGATGACTGCACCTCAAGGGCGGCCTGTCTCAATGTCAATGGTGGCATTATCAATTCTCCAACACGAGGGTCCACTTGGATTATTCAAAGGGGCGGTCCCTAGGTTCTTCTGGATCGCACCACTCGGTGCTATGAACTTTGCAGGCTACGAGCTCATGAAAAACGCTATATCCAAAAGCGAAGAGCAGCCAACTCTAGAGCAGCAAGCTGCAGAGCAGCTTTCACAGAAGTAGCAGCAGCGGTATTGATAATTGTTTGGTTTTATTTGTAAGCATGTGAAACGCCCTGAGGAAGTTTTGAATGTTTTCCACAATCGAGTGGCGACACGCTACAAATTTCATCTGCCGACATCTCGATGGTCATTTTTAGGATGTTTACATCCGAAACCTGTATGGATTGCTAGTCATGTTAGCAACATCCCTTTTTGTTTCCTTCTACATGCACATTTTGACTTGCACTGTACATGACTTGTGTTGAATTATAATCGGATTTCTACTACAATCGTGTGAATCACTTTCCAAATTCGATATTTCGACCGTATATGCCTGGTATCACGAAATCCGAATTGGGATAATTGTAAAAGCAACAATCTTGATTTTGGTAGAAATCAAGATCAAAACTAGAGAAAAATATAGAGTGTCTTCAAAGTTCGTATCTGTCCCAAAACTGATCATTCGAAATTAAAACTCAAAACTGTGAAAACGGGAGTTACTAAGTTATAGGATTCACAATCATACCACAGAAAAATCAAGAATTTTCCAAATTAAAACTTTGTTTCCTTCAAAGTTCAGGGGGCGTTGCCCCCTAAATATTACCGGGACCGACTTAGACTAATACAAGCGTGCACTCCACACTCTCCATACTTGTTTTAGAACAAAGTTCAATCCCTTTGAAACACACGTATAAAATCCATTACACTTAATGTAACCGGTGACACTAAAATCACCAACAACTTGTGTAGGTTCTTTATATGAATTTCGTTGACGCAGACTCTGTGTAAGTTATTGCCATCGTTTGTTTCACGAGCCGTGGACAACGGTGATATGTTTTTGTTCTAGATAGGGATTATCGTCGCTATTTCCTAAATTACTGATTTTACGACCATTATGAAATAGTAAATACTCACTGTTTTCTACAATACTTATTTTATGACCGTTAGGAAGAGGAAAATTTTAGTCATACGGATGATGTTTGAAATCGAACCACGTTTTCATATTAAAATTAGATCGACCGGTCAGTAATTTTTTTTTGATTAATCTGGATATCCAACCTGACTAATCTCAGGGCGACCACCTGATTTGCAGATGGTCCGGAGTCATCGCATTTGAATCTCCGTGACCACAAGGGGATTTTTATTCCTATTTGGATTTAAACCTGGGACCTCCAAGTACTTTCGACATTTGAAGCCAAGCTCAAACCAATCAGACACCACCCTTGTGGTTCCAGTCAGTAATTTCTTTTAATATATATATATATATATATATACATGATATTTCAAAGATTTGGTTGATTAGATAGCCTCATTATAAATACATAACATGAAGACTTGTTTCAGTAACGTTTCTTCTAAAACCTATTTGTTTAATAATCAAACTAAGTAATAAATTATTTGTTTTTCACTTTTGGACAAATATGGAAATTATTGATTTATGACTTATGAGTGTTGAAAAGTCAAATCTATATGATCTATCCACCTAAATAATAATTTCTACCCAATTTATGATTTTTACCCATTTTGCCCTTTTAATTATTATTTGATTTAAAAAACTTATTGATGATCACACATTTGGATTTATTCACTTAATTTAATTGTAATGATAAATGTGGAGTTACTCAATTTTGGTTTTAGGTGTTGTTTATTTACCTATTAATAGTTTCATTAAAAGACAACATTTGAATCGTTAAGAGGTGAATCTTGTTTGACAAAAAAAATCTATCTCTTAATGAATCTAAAAACCCTCTGAATGATTTTGTATTATGGATCTCCCTTAATCATTAAGAGCCCTAATTTCATTGTACACAATTACCAAACAATTATATTTCATTTTGCATTATATCATCAGAGTCTCTTAATCATTCTGATCACTTAATCATTCTGCACAAAACCATTCAACAATTACTTAGAATTTTTTAAACCAGAACTTGTCTAAATACAAAATGTTTTTTTAATTAAAAATAAATAGGACATATAAAAGAGTAGATATTAAAAGAAATATCAAAATAAAACATACTTTTTTACATGGTCTTTATTTTAAAAAGTGACTCTAAAACTCTATTAAATACTTATATTAATCTCGACATCTGATAATATAGATGCTTAATTAACTATATCATGGTTATATTAAAAACCCCATATGCTCTCATATTATATGATTTCGGATGTATATTAAAATCATGATCAATTTGGTTGCAATGTTGGACGACAATGCATTCCCATCTAATATTGAATGAATTAGTTTACACATTTAAATGAATAAAAATGTTAAAAAGGTCTTCATTAGTAAAAAAATAATAGTGTTGACCATGTTTTAATAAAGTAAAAGTAAGTATTTGCCTAACTTCTAGAATCGCCTTTTCGTATTATATCTAATAATTATTCATCAACCTTCTAGATATCAATATAATCATGTTTCGAGAAAACGGTACGTGGGCATCAAAAAGTTGTAGACAAAGATTAAACAAACTGAGAATTCGGCAAAATATTTTATGTATTAAAAACATGATCTGATATGTCGAATAACACACACACACACACACATATATATATATATGTGTGTGTGTATGTGTGTGTGTGTATGTATGTATATATATATGAATACAGTGATGTGTCGAGAAAATGGTACAAACATATGGTGAAATTATCTGTAGAGACTAATTAAAAAAGACCTCAACCACAATTCATGGTCTCTTTGATTGATTAATAAATTTACTTGTACATATATCATATTGTGCGAGTAACCCTAGATGTTGTCGGAGTAAAAAGTAATAGAAAAATGATTTGTCTTCTAAAAACAAATACAATCTTGTGACGAAGAAATGGTACACACACACATACATATGTAGGTAGAAGTTATTTGTAGAGATTAAAAGACTGACTAAATAATTTTACGTATTAAAATTTGATTTAGGTAACAGTCAAAATGTCCATTTTTCTAGGATTAGAAAGAAAAGATTCCTCGTGTGGCATACACTTGGTCGAAATGACCTCAACACCAATCAGATATTGACACGGTCTTTTCTATTTATGAAAATGAAGCGTTTGACTCGACAAACAATTCATAACAATGATTGGGTTATTGATTAGATATTTAAAAATTATAAATGTTGATCAAGCGTACGATAGATAGTTCTGTAAATTATAAACGCACACATAACAATCCTGTAAGTTCTCATAGTTGACATCCAGACGTCTACAGTAAGGTCAGTTTGGACGTTCGCAGCGCATTAAAACTCTAACTCTTTAGGTATAAACAGGGTCAAATTTATCCAAGTTGAAAAACTCGGTAATACCCTCTCCAACCTATATAAAACTTCATACATAATTTTTAGAGATTTTTAATTCTCAAACACTCATCCAGTATGAAATATAGTTCACTTATGTTCTATAATAATATCAACTATCATTGTAAATAATCCACTTTCAGCATCAGTATTTTGATTAATTGAAACTCTTGCGGAAAAAAGAGAGTACAAACTTGAATATTGTACTATTTCAATTTGTGTTTAACCTTCATCGAATATTTTTACAGAATCAACATGTCTCGAAAGGTGGACTCAGAAAAAATGAATTACTTAAAATTATGAACCTTTCTATATCAGCATATCGATTTTTTCTCTCTTCCCTCATACTTTTATATTACAACATTGATAAAATAACCTTCCTTCGAGATTGTAAATTATTCATTTCTCTGAGTAAAAAAAAAACAAAATCCTACAATGCAAATTTGAGATTATAAATATCATAATTGATTAATTATTAATTAAATATTAATTTCGAACAAAGTCCAGAGATTTGCAACCTCGTTTGGAATCTAATTGTTGATTAATATTAATATTATATAATTGTTGATTAATATTAATATGATGGGCAACAACCACTCCAACCATCAATTCAACTTTTCATACCAAGTTAACTAGTTTACTTATGGATGTCTCAACTCACTATCAACCAAAAGAATCTTGGAGATCAAAGTCAAACTCAATGAGTGCCCTAATCATTTTTCAGTTTTATTATATATATATATATATATATATTAAATAATTAACAACTGAAAAAGTATAATTATACATGGTTATGACATGAGATGAAATAACGTGCTTGCATACATTGCATATATGTGATGTTTGTTGACCACGAAGACTACAACTAAGGAGATGATTCGTTTTTGTAAAAGTCGGATATAAAGACTTGTAAACGTTTCTATACATGTGTATGCGTTTTTAATCAGGATGCAAGTCTACTGATCTTTGTCATATATACAACTGTAAAGAATAAACGACAAGAAAGATGTCGTGTTCCAAGGCTTTAATATTTTGTGATACTGAATGTCAATTTATTTGTATAAAAAAATATAATACTATCTGTTATGCAGGATGATTTTAAACAACTTAATATGTATTGTTATTATTGCAGAGTATTTTAATATATAATCAATAAACAAAAATGATTTTATTTAATAACAAATGAATTAAATTGAAACATATTTTTGTTTTTGATTTTATTTTGAATAAAACTACTTCCAAAAGCTCTCTTTTGAAAAATGTACCATACCTTTGATTCAATCAAAATAACATACTAAAAGAGGAATACATTTTAACTATATAAATAGAAAGTCTATTCTAAAGAAAATAACTCAACTTTCTTGTTTGAGATGTCTTGTCGTAAACACCAAATATAGAGTAGGATCCTTGAATTACAAATGAAATACGTTTAAATTGTATGGATGATACTTGTGTTCTTTGGGTCGGGATACGAGTTGTAATACTAATAGGTAACGAGAATTTATTTTGTTGTAATAACTGACACAAAAATTTTTGGGCGTTTGCAAGTCCAAACTCACCTATTTTGGAGAACAAGATTTGTCCCTACGTCTTGAATATCGTGTGGTGGTCACATGCACTAAACTTAAAAGCTATGAGACTCGATTAAATTCCGACTTCAACTCATATTATATATATAGCGAAAACACGTTAAATCATGTATCATTGTAATTGCTTCTGAATTCTATAAGTCGTGTGAAGTTGTGTATGTACATATTCGTTTCATTTTTTGTCAAGTTAAATCACGTCGTTATTAATTCAGGACATGACGACCTGAAATTATTGGTTAATGATTATGAATTTGATATTAATGATGCTCACATACACATATACACATATACATACATATATATATATATACTTGATTTTTTTAAATAAATATTTGTAGTTAAAAATTATAAAAAAAAAGTAAAAAAAATAGATCGTGTAGCATGTGTGGATAATGGTCCAAAGGAAACGTGTAAGTGTGTGATTGCATTGGGCCACGGGGTGAGTGTGGACCACGGTCGTGCATGGACTCCAAAAACACACCATGGAACCTTCACACTACTTTGGTCGGGTCTTCCATGACATATTATGAGAGAAACATACCATTTATTTAAAAATTATAAATATTTTAATATTTGATTATTTTTAATCAGCATTAAAAAGATAGTTTCTTTTTAAACCATTTATCTATTTAATTCAAGAATTATAAATAATAATAATAATAAATTACATATTGTCAATACTAATTACAATATATTACAATTAAAGGAAGAATAATGATTTATTTTTATATTAGAGTTGGTTTGAGGATATCTGGTGAGATAAAATAATCACAAAATTATCCCATCTAGTCTCATAATATTGCTTGTAAAGAGAGTTTAATGTTTTAGGATTACTTATAAAAACAACTTATTGACTTATTCCAGTGTAGTACTGGTAATAAGCACTTTTGAGTATTTGGATAAACAGCTTATACCGGTGCCAAACCGGTAATAAAAAGTTTTTGAAGAAGTTAAATCATTCTAACTTATAATAAGTTGATAAATGCTTTTGTAGAA